CTATCTATCTATCTATCTATCTATCTATCTATCTATCTATCTATCTACCTTAGGGTGCCTGGGTCCTGGATGGCTGAATTGGTTGAGCATCTGGCTCTTGATTTTGGCTCAGGTCATGATCTCAGTGTGATGGGGTCAAGCGCTGTGTCAGGCTCTGTGCTGAGCATAGACTCTGCTTAAGATTCTCTCTCTCTCTCTGCCCCTCTTCCCTGTTCCTGCTAGCTAAAATAATTTGAAAAAAAAAAAAAAACAACAAACTTTTTTTATATGTGATTAAGTATTTTTTTACTTATCTTTATTATTTTTTAAGATTTACATCCAAGTTAGTTAACATATAGTGTAATAAAAAAAATCTTAAAAAAAACAAGCAAAGATGGTCTTGATCTTTGAGGAGTGTTTAGTCTATAGAAGGAAATTGTAGTAAGAAAATGCCATTAGACAAGATGAGGAAGAAAAGGTGGAAATAAGATGGGAAGAGAAGAAGGAGTTTCCAGTTTGGTGAACACACTGACATGCTATGGAGGTGGAAGGTGGTATACCTGGAGAGGGCATGAAAGTTATGCCCCAACCCCGATCCCTGTACCTTGTCCTATGCATCTCTTCCTTTGGGCTGTCTGGTTGTATCCTTTATATAAACTGGTAATTTTTTTTAAAGAAAAAAGGAAAAAAATGTACGGCCAGTGGTCAACCAAATTTTGAGTTACACAAAGAAAAAGCAAATGACTGAGAAGGAGTAGCCACAAGGATGGAGAAAGAATCAAGTCAGGATAATTTCAAGGATATCAAATGAAACTAAATTTCAGGAATCTGAGTGTGGACAATGGCTAAGGCACAACATCTGGTACATACTTAGATTAGATGACTTCTTAAGGTACCTCCAACTCTAAGTATTTGTCTACCTAAGTGTTCAAAACCAGTATGGTTTGTAACATCCCCTTGATTAACCCCTAGGAAAAACCCATTTCACTTCCAGTAAACAATAAGAATTTAAATTTAAATGAAGGAGCATAACATAGCCATATCTCCACACTTTCAAACTAGGCAATTTAGGATAAAAGGTGATCGTACATTGTGTTTTCTAATTGGCAATTTAAAAAAATTACACCAGTTCACTAAAAATTTAACACAGGGGCGCCTGGGTGGCGCAGTCGGTTAAGCGTCCGACTTCAGCCAGGTCACGATCTCGCGCTCCGTGAGTTCGAGCCCCGCGTCGGGCTCTGGGCTGATGGCTCAGAGCCTGGAGCCTGTTTCCAATTCTGTGTCTCCCTCTCTCTCTGCCCCTCCCCCGTTCATGCTCTGTCTCTCTCTGTCCCAAAAATAAATAAATGTTGAAAAAAAAAATTAAAAAAAAAAAAAAATTTAACACATAATAAAGTACCTAAAAAGCTCCTAGAAAATGGGATTAAAATGGAACCCCAATACTCACAATATAACCTGCATAGTCTTCATTTTCAACGAAGGAATCATGAAGCCAGATAAATTCCTCATGTTGTCGAACAACAGAAAACTCATTTTGTTTAAAATTTGGCAACGAACTCTGCAAAGACAGAGATTCTCTTGAATAAAAATCAAAATTGCACTAAAAGGCTTTTAGTAAATATTTTTTATCTTATTTTTGTAAATTAGTCTCATGCGAAAGATTATCAGCACTTTTAAACTCTATTATGAAAACTCGGAGACATCAGACAAAATTATCCTGAGATGTTTAAGAAAATAATTTGACAGACTTATTATACTATACTGCTACCACCATTTAAAAGTTGTCTTACTAATATATATCAAACTCAACTATTCAAAGAAAAATAGATCTACAGTCTGAAAATATGCCTAAAAACTGAAATCCAAGAAGAAAATAATTTGTAAGACAGTAATTTAATTAACTAAAAGAACAAAACAAAACTGAAAACAAGAATGATGAAAGATATTAATAGAAGTCTAGAGAAAATTAAATATGCATTACACCTAGGTTTTGTGAGTAATTCGTAAATGTTAGTCTTTAAAAAGTGCATTTTTAAAAAAAAGTACATTTCCCTGGGGCACCTGGATGGCTCAGTTGGTTAAGGGTCTAACTCCTGACTTTGGCTCAGGTCATGATCTCACAATTTGTGGGATGGAGCCCTGTGTGCCCGAAGCCTGCTTGGGATTCTCTCTCTCTCCCTCTTTCTCTGCCCCTCCCTCCCTCCCTCACAGATACTCTCTAAATAAATAAATAAACTTAAAAAATTAAAAAAAAATTTAACAAGTACATTTCCTTAAAACTGTTACAATAAAAGCAGTAGCTTATAAACTAAAATATAGTTTACTTCTAATTATGTTCAAAACCAAAGTTCCAGTCAATATATTATCACATATATAACATCTGCACAATAAATAGCTAAAATAGTACAAGTACAAAATCACATTTACCTTTGTGTGAACAGTGAATTTTACTTTATCTCTCTCACTCAGAGCATCGGAAATGTCCACTTGCAGAGCAGCATCACTTTGAAGATCTACATTTATTGCTTTAAGCTAGAAAAAGATAACACCTTAATAAAAATCCTATGGGCATTTATAGAATCTCATTCTTTTCTCAGACATTAACATAATGCAAAAACAAAACAAAACAAAATAATCTTAAATCTAAAAAAGTACTCAAGTTCATTAGAACTACATACATATTTTGAAGGGCAGGTTATTTGGATATGTTATTATCTTAATTTTTCATTCTATAGTATTCAACTACGCTTTGTATGAGTCAATGGGATAACCATTATTCATTATAATTTCACTCAAAAAGTAAACTATTTTTTCTCTCTCCTCTTCTCTGCCATTGTGGTGTGTGAAGTTAACTGCTTCTTACAATGGGTAGCAGCAGGGAAGTCTGGAAGGTACCCTAGCCTAGGAGCTTGGATGACCTGGGTTTGAATCCCATCTCTGCACATTAATATACTCTGATTTGGGTCTTCTCACAAGACTTGCAGAATCACGCTTAAAATGTGGCCAAGAAACAGGGGCGCCTGGGTGGCTCAGTCGGTTAAGTGTCCGACTTCGTCTCAGGTCATGATCTCACGTTTCGTGAGTTCGAGCCCCATGTCGGGCTCTGTGCTGACAGCTTGGAGCCTGGAGCCTGCTTGGGATTCTGTTGTCTCCCTCTCTCTCTGCCCCTCCCCCATTCACATTCTGTCTCTCTTTCTCTCAAAAATAAATAAAGATTAAAACAAAAAAACAAACAAACAAACAAAAAGTGGCCAAGAAACAAAAGCAGAATCATCCCATTCCCCAGTGAATTCGGATGAAAACTGGTAATAAAATCAGGTACAACTCCAAGAGGAGGCACTGGAGAAGAACCAAGCTGGTCTAGAATGGATAGCACATGAGATGGCATATATATTTATGCTGCATGAAGGTTACATACTTGTATTCTATCACTCTGTAAACATCACTACCACCTCAACAATAAACATGTTTTACTAGAAAAATGATTCTTCTCTGTTACTATCCTTCTGCACCAGTAAGGTGATTCAGTAATAAATATGCAGGACCTTTTGTTTGAAAGAAATAAATACATAAAATAAACTATTTTCCAAGAAGATGGTTCATTAACATTCAAGTATCCTAAAATTAAGGAAAGTATCTACCTTTTAGAACAAGAAAAATAATGAAAAGGCTAATAATTTTAACTCTACTGCTTATTTTAGTTCAGGAATTTACAATGAAACTATTAAATATATTACATATAACATATTTATAGTGCTAAAAATGGCAACATAATACTCAATAACTACCTCCTGTGTAGGAATTAAAGCTCACATTTTACTCTACAAGCTTTAATATATTTAAATGATTGAATACGTTCTCTATGTAGTGCTTCCATTTACTTGTCTATGAGAAGACTTCTCTATAATTCTTTTTTTTAAGTTTATTTATTTTGAGAGAGAGACCTCGTGTACACTTGAGCGGGGGAGGAGCCTGACATGTGGCTCAAACTCATGAACTGTGAGATCATGACCTGAACTAAAATCTTAACCAACTGAGCCATCCAGGCACCCCCCCCCCCGCCACCTTTTTTCTTTAAAGTAAACTCTATCACCAACGCGGGGCTCCAACTCACAATCCCAAGATCAAGAGTCACATGCTCTGACTGAGCCAGCCAGGCATCCCTCTAATTCTTACCATATTTATAATTCTTAAATTTCATCTATATTCTTCCCCTTTAAACAAATATGCATTCTAAAATGTTTGACTAATTTGGAAACCTATAAAAAAAATCAAACACACTAAAAGATGAAAATAAAGTCTTAGCCAGCTGCAAAGATATGAAATATTTAAAGTCTAATTAACTACCCAGCCTGCTTCAAATACTCCAATTGTAAAACCCAGGTCTTACTTTGGGAATCTCACCTAATCATCAGCATTTCAAATTTTAATTACAATGTAAAAGGAAAAAAATGCTGGAAACAGAATTGTTTATGACCTCAGTCATATATTTAAAAGTGCAGGGGCACCTAGGTAGCTCAGTCGGTGTCCGACTCTTGATTTCAGCTCAGGTCATAGTTTCACGGTTTGTGAGATCGAGCCCTGCATCGGGCTCTATGCTGACAGCATGGAGCCTGCTTGGGATTCTTTCTGTCCCTCTCTCTCTGCCCCTCCCTCGCTCGCATTTTTCTCTTTCTCTCTCAAAATAAATAAACTTAAAAAAAATGCATACATAAAAGGCTTATAGGAAATATAACAAAAATGTGACCATCAATGGATTTTCTTTATATATTCCTTCATTGTCCCAATTGTCCACAATATGCATGCATTACTTTTACAAATGGTGGGGAGCCCCCTTAAAATGGAAATCCCATGATCTATTAAAATATTAATTTTAGGAATTTTTTCATTAAATAGTTGTTTAACTTCCATTAGTAAAGAACAAAAGTAACATTTCACTTCTGTACTATTGGTTCTAGATTGAGTAGACCTGTTTTTAAAAGATAAAGACCATTACAGGGGTGCCTTGGTGGCTCAGTCGGTTGAGCGTCCAACTTTAGTTTAGGTCATGATCTCGTGGTTCATGAGTTCAAACCCCATGGTGAGCCTGCTTTGGATTCTCTCTCTCTCTGTCTCTCTCTCACTCTGCCCCTCCCCTGCTCGTGCTCTTTCAAAAATAAACATCAAAAACATTTTTAAGAAAAAAATAAATTACATGGTACTGGGGTGCCTGAATGGCTCTGTTGGTTAAGTGCCCTACTCTTGATTTCAGCTCAGGTCATGATCTCATGGTTTGGGAGATTGTGCTGAAAGCTCAGAACCTGCTTGAGATCCTCTCTCTCTCAAAATAAATAAATAAACTTAAAAAAAAAAAAAACCACTTAAATTATGTAGTACTATCTCTGATGGCCTTTAGTAAAAACTTTATAGGTAACTTAAGTTTATATTAAGTTAAATTTCATCAGTAATCATCTTTTTTAAAGTTTATACTATAAACTTACATAAGTTATTTAAAAATTTGTTATTGTACTCAATGCTATATGTAACCCATTGTCTGATAAAAGAAATGAAATTAAGAGTTGCCTGGAGGGACACCTGGGTGGCTTAGTCAGTTAAGCATCTGACTCTTGATTTCAGCTCAGGTCATGATTTCATGGTTTATTGAGTGGTACTGAGCCCCACATTTGGCTCTGGGCTGACAGTGTGGAGCCTGCTTGGGGTTTCTCTCTCAAATAAACAAACAAATAAATAAACAAACATTAAAAGGAAAAAAAAAAGAAGTGTTTCCTTTTTTCTCTTTACTCACAATCAGGACACTTTTAAGATGCTTATTGTGGTAGAGTGAATAATGGCTCCCCCCAAAACATGCACATCAAAATATCTGGAACCTGTGGACATTACCTTATATGGTAAAAAAAAAAAAAAAAAAAGGCTCTGCAGGTGTGATTAAATTAAGGATCTTGAGATGGGGAGATTATCCTGGATTTCCCAAATGGGCCTTAAATGCAGTTACAGATATCCTTATAAGAGGTGCAAAGAGATTAGACACAGACAAAGGGGAGGGCAACAGGACTATGGATGCAGAGATTAGAGTGATCCAGCCACAAGCTAAGGTTTGCTGGCAGCCACCAAAAACCAGAAGGGACAAGCAACAAATTCTTCCCTAGAATCCCAGGGAGCATGGCCCTGCTGACACCTTGATTTCAGTTCAGTGATCCTGTTTTCGGACTTCCGGCCTACAGAACTGTGAAGAGAATACATTTCTGCTGTATTCAGTGATCAGATTTGTAGTAATTTGTTAGAGTAGCCACAGGAAATTAATAAATTTATCATTGCGATTTTTGGAATAATAATCTTGGCTTTTCTTATGTTTTCTCTGCCTTGTCAAGCATTTCCCAAATACAACTGATAGGCATCAACCTGGGTACTTGTTAAAAATACAGAACCCCAGGCCTGATCACAGGTTTATCAAAACAATCATCAAGGAAAAGCCTTAAAAACTGTGTTTGGAAACCCTAGCCTAGACTTACAGGGTTGTCTTTGCCTTTACAATCTTTGAAAACTTCAACTCAACTGCTAATATTTGTTTTTAATGATTATATAAAACATTGTTCCCAGGTGTTATATCTGTATGTACATTTTAATTTTCAGATTTTAACTGTTGTATTATCAATTTTCAGGATTTCTACATCTGAATAGCTGTTATTTATTCTTCCAATTCAAAGTTATTCCTAATTATTTCTTTCTTCCATTTCCTTATCTCTGTATATCAAATATACTTGCCTCCTTTTTTCTGATAGCACAACGCTTCGCTTTTTTAAATTATAACTTTTTTTGATAACAAATATTCTTATGTATTTACTGTTTTTGTTCTTGGATTCTCTCTTTTCAGGTATACCTTACATACAACGAAACACAGGTTTTAAGTATGTAATTTGAAGAGTCTTGACAAATACACAGGTTACACGCCTGTAATCATGACCACAATCATCCCCAGAAATTCCCATTACTTTTACGTTTCTACTTTTTTTTCTAACTCTTCTATAAATTCTTTTGTATGCCTTATGAAAGCTTGTAGCCCTTCACATATGGTCTTACAGCTATTAATCCAATCTATCATTTGTCTTTTTCATTCTTTTAGCAAGTATGTTCTAGAACTGATCTCAGGAAAAGCGCATGAATCACACATAAATAGGGTCACAGCAAACTGCTGATGCTGAGATTGTGACTCCTTTAATTTATATTTCATAATAGGTTCAAAATATCAGTTTCACATCTCAATTTTTTTTTCCATTTCCAAGCTTACAGAGAAAAGGAAACAAAAAGGAGTATTTTGTTTGACAATAGATTTGCTTCACACACATCAGGGTGTTTTGTTTTGTTTTGTTTTAAGCCCTGTTTCTAATAACTAAGATGTGTAATGGAAAAGCCAGCCAATAAATGAAATCATCCCATACACAAATACAAAATTTCCAATGAAAGCTAATCTGCTATTATTTCATCAATTCTAGATGCATACTTTGCACATTTTAACATCTGAAATAGGAATGCCT